TGCCCTGGGAACTGGAGGAGTCACACAGAGACCCCTGCCAGCGCAGAGATGGTTCTACCGCCACTGGATCCACAAGACTTTGCACCCCCTGGCCTGTGATCATCCTGCATTCTGCATCATTGCATGTGTTTCGAGAGTCTGAAGAGGAATTTATAGACTGGTATCGGACATATGGGCTAATTTCGGGCTTATGGACTTGATCTGGACTGGGCTGTTACTTTCTCAATATTCGATTGCTCTTATATATAAAGCTCTTTCTTATACACATAGGAGTGTCTATGAATTTGTTTCTCTAGTCTACCCAGACTCACACACCTTCCCCACCCAGCAACCCCGCCCTGCCCTTCAGTACGCCAGGCCACCTCAGTCACTCTCACTCCCTGCCAGCGAGTCCAGTCCCGCTCACAGTGACCCTAGAGGACAGGGTAGAACTGCCCCTGGGGGCTTCTGAGGCTCCAGCCCTTGACAGGCATAGAAAGCCTCCTCTTTCTCCCATGGAGCGGGCAGTGGGTTCAAACTGCTGACCTTGCAGCCAGCAAGGTCCGGCTTAACCACTGGCACCACCAGGGCCCCTCTAGTACGGAGAGTGGTCCTGACCCAGAACCACCGGCCCGCCCACCTTGGGGGCCCTCGTGGAACTGGAAGGAGTACTTCTTGACGATGCGCAGCATGTGCTGGTAGGAGTTCCAGGTATTGTGGGCCACCAGGAGGTCCCGCTGGCCCGGCAGCAGCTTGATGAGGGCAGAGCACGAGCCGGAGCCCATGGACCGCTTGGTCTTGGTCTTATTCAGGGCGGGCTCCAGGTCTTCCAGGTCCCCCGAGAGCTGCAACAGGCTGCAGAGGGTCAGGGCAGCGCAGGGTTATGGCAACTGGTGCACCCGTGTCAGCAAGGAGGGAGCTGAGGCGCAGGGGGTTGAGTTGCCCCGACCCGTCTGGGGCCACGTGGCCAGGCAGTGGTGGAGCAGGTACCAGTGCCCAGGTATGTTTGAGGGTGAGATGGGTAGCCCTTCTCCTCACCAGGTCCACTCGGGGGGTGGAGGTGGGGAGGGTACTTACAGGAACCCTAAGGGTTTGATGGTGAATCTCCCAGTTGGGAAGGTCACGTGGCCTCCGTAGCTGTCCTCCAGGCCCTTCAACTGCAGGAGGGCCAGCCGGACCTGCAGGGTGGGGGGCACGGGAAGGGCAGGGCTTTTCTCCCAGGCTCACCCGCTCTCCTACAATAGGAGGGGCTTGGGGACCAGGGCCCGGGGACCAGGTGGAGGACAGGCCTAGGTCCACCCACCAGGCTCAGCCAGCTCTGACCTCTCTCTCTCTCTCTGCCAAGCACTACCTTCTGTATGTTAACTCTAACCCTGGTGACCCCACATCAGCACCCGGCTCCTAAGCCACCTCCTCCAGGAAGCCTCTGGTCGCCCCTGGCCCACTGCTGAGGGCTCCCTGTATGCGTTACTGCTGCACTGCTGCCAGGGGGCACCCGTCTCACACGTCACTGTTCTGGCTCCATAGCCTAGAGCTGTGGGGCAGCATCACACACACACACACACCCCACGGGGCCTCGGTCTGTGCCGACGCACACCAGGCACTCAGAAAACACTGACTTGCGGGACGGATGGATGGATGGGAGGCTGGGAGGATGGATAGGTAGGGGTATTGAAGGAAGTAAAGAGGGAGGGAAGGAGGGAGGGATAAATGGACAGGTGGATGAACAGATGGATAAGGAGAGGAATGGATGAACACTTGGTTGGATGGGCAGACAGATGGACAGATAGACCAGAGAACAAACTGATAGATGGATGAATGGATGGACAGATGAATAGGTCAATAGGTGGGTAGGTGGATGGATGAGCAGATGGGCGAACAAATGGATCTAGAGACAAATGGCTGGATGGACAGGAAGACAGACAGATGGAGGGATAGCTGCTAAGTTCAACAGAAAGGACATGGTAAGAAGCAATGGGCTACATGGCTGGAAGGGAAGCGGACAGACAGATGTCAGTCAGGCGCATGGAGGGAAGAGAAGAAACAAGATGGGGCTGAGTCTTAACAAACACCATCATGCAGCTGCCAGGTGCTGAGCACTGGGGCAATGAGTGGGAAAGCCGCGGGTGGGTGGGCAGGTGGGACAGCACAGCTGGTACTTGTACAGAGGGGAATGGGCCAGGCTAAGTGGAGGGGCCAATAGACCCCAAGGCCTTTTAAAGAGCCAACCTGTCCATGTACTTCCTACACAAACTCTTGCAGTTTTGCGAGGAGCTCACGAGTAACTGACTCTGTCCCTGAATTTTGATGTCCCAAGGGCCACACACCCTGCCCGGACTTCTCAGCCAAGAAGAGGCCAGAATCCATTGTGCTGCAATCCTCTGCCCCACCTGCCTCATCCCCGTCTCCTCCCTCCCTTCTTCCTCCGTGCTATGCACCATGCACCCGGCAGGTGTTGAGTGGGCGCCCTTGGGTACGGGTAAAAGGAAGGACTCTGCTGCTTTGGTTTTTCCGTGACAGCAGGGAGGCCGGAGGACCAGGGGGAGAGGGGTCAGGTGGACATGTGGCACGTTGGCCAGGAGGGATGGATGAGATGAAAGATGGCGAGGCTGGCGGGAGGACCAGAGGCTGTGGGGCGGCAGACCCACCCTCCTCTCAGTGCTGGGCATGCCCACCTGGTGCCAGTAAGTGGAGTCCTTGTTCCGCTCCATCTCCTCCTGCATCCACTCAAGGTTGGTCTCCAGGAAGCTCTTGAGCTTCTCACAGTAGCCAGCTTCGTACTCAAAGGGGCCGCAGTAATTCACAACCGTGTTCATCCAGTGCATGTAGATAAGCTGGGGGGCGGAGGGGAGGTGAAGTGGGCAGGGTCCGGCCTATGGGGCTGCCCCCCCACCCAGGGGGTGGTGGTTCCTGCCGGCTGCCACTCAGGCTTAGAGCCAGAACACTCTGCCCCCACCCTTCCCCGGAAGTATTTTGAGTTCCACGTCTACACTGCATGCTGCCTCCTCCAAGACCAGGGCCCCATGGGCTACACATGCTGGCAGTCAGTCAGCGGTCTGAGCACCTACCACGTGCCGAAGCCATTCCCACACTGAGGACACGCAGCAGGAGGCCAAGAGAGCAAATCTCTCTCCAGACCAGATTTGGACAATATGATATCCAGTTCCAACCAGGCCTCAAGAGGCCTCCACGTTGGGCCTGCCCTGCCCTGCGGTCGTGGGACTGAGCCTGGGCTTGCCTGCCAGAGGGTAAATGGCCAAGCTGCCCCAGCCACATGAAAGAGGCCACCCCAGCTTGGCGGGCCAGCCCGGCCCACCCTGGCTGGCTGCAAAACACCAGCGGGCCCAGCCGAGGTCACCCACGCCTTGCCTGGACCCACAAAACTACACACCCAAGGATGGTCCCTTCAGCACACACTGTCCCTGCGAGCAGACACCCAACCTGTTGGGAACTCTGCCCCGGAGGTGCTATGATCCCAATGGGCAGCTGGGGTAACTTTCCGGGGTCCACCTGGGGGCAGGCAGGGAGTGAAGATGAACTCGAGGGGGGCAGGGCTTTGGGAATTCCCTGCCAATGAGCTCAATGGGCAAAGCCACCCGCAGGGAAAGAGCCATTTTGTCATTATACTTCCTACTTTAAAATATGTTACACCTTTTTACCTAGAGCAGATTTTTAAAAAAGAAAGAATGCGTGTGGGCATACAAGCACCTTTTCGTCCTGGCGAGATGGACAGTCCAGGGACCAGGACTGATTCACACACACCCCTGAGACCCTGCCCCCCACCCCCAAGCATCCTGGGAAACCCACCAGGGGCAGGGAGTTTGAGGCGGGGGTCACCGCCGGGGTCTCACCTCCTCCGACACGGCAGCCTCCACCATGCCTGCCGCGTAGGCCTGCAGGCTGTCATTGAAGCGGCCACTTGTGCCCAACTCCAGCAAGGCCCACCTGGGGGGCGGGGAAGGGGGTGGACATTGGGTCAGTGGCAGGGGTATCTACAAAGCCGGCCCTCAGGCTGGACGCTCCAACCGCCTCCAGTTTAGACCATGATGGCCAACGCTGCCTTTGTGGGCGGCTGCTCACCTGCACGTCAGTCGGGTGAAATCCCTAAAAGCAACTGCTGTGTTAAACCAAACACAATGCGGGCCGGACCGGAGCATGTACATAGGTGTAGGCAAGAGATAAAGCTCACGACACACGGAATCCAAGAACAGGAGTGGGAATAGCGGTACCAAAAGGGTAGGGGGGAGAGGGGGAGAGGTGGGGAGGAAGGGGTTACCGATCGCAATAAAGGGCACATAACCACACACACACACACATCCACAGCTATTACGCAATGGGGCCCCCAAAACAGCCTGCCTTGTAGGAGTGTGAAGGATCCCTCGTAACCGTAAGGTCAACTGTTCAAAACCACCATCTGCTCCGTGGGAGAAAGATGAGGCTTTCTACTCCCATAAAGAATTCTAGTCCCAGACACCCATGGGTGCAGGGGTATTCTCCAGGGGGAAGAACAACAGAAACCAGAGGGGAAGGAGACAGCGGTCACTGTGAGATATGAAAATAATAACAGTCAATAATCTATCAAGGGACCACGGTGGGGGTGGAGGGAGGAGAAAAAAAGAAGAAAAAACAGCTGATTCCAAGGGCTCAATAGGAAGTAACTGTCTAGAAAAGAATGATGGCAACATATGTACAAACATGCTTGATACAGTTGATGCCTGGATTGTAACAAGAGTTGTGAGAGCCCTCAAGGAAATGATCTAAACAAACAGACAAACACAAACCCAATTGACTGCCGTCAAGTCCATGCGGGCTCAGTGACCCTACAGGACAGACAAGCTGGCCTGTGGGTTTCCAGGGCTGTCTGTCTTCATGGAAGTAAGCCAGCCCTCGTTCTTCCTTGGGACAGCAGGTGGGTTTGAACCGCTGACTTTGCCACTGACAGCCCAACACTCAGCCCACTGAGCTACCCTGTGGGGTTTCCTTCTAACCCCCTCCACAAAGTGATACTGATCTATAAGGGGGTAGTTTTAAAAGGTGCCTGAGAAAATGCCATCCGTTTTGCCACAAACTTTTTGAAGCCCCCCCATATTTTCCACCACTGATAATGATGCCAAAAGAAAACTCGAAACACAAGAAAAACCCAAACTCACTGCCGCCGAGTGGATTCTAGCTCATAGCAACCCTACAGGGCAGGGGGAACTGGCCCGTGCGTGTCTGAGACGGTAACGACCTGATGGGAGTAGAAAGTCCCGTTTTCCTCCCGTGGATGGTGATTTTGAACTGCTGACTTTGGGGATAGCAGTCCAATGAGCGTCCACTATTCCACCAGGGCTCCCGAAGTCTATGGTGGGAGAGAGATATTAATTCCCCACTCCCTTTGTTCAGACACTCGAGCAAAAAGCATTGATGAACTTTTTGCCATTGAGTTGCTACCAACTCATTGTGACCCTACAGGGCAGGGTAAACTGTACCCATGGGTGTCTGGGACTAGAATTCTTTATGGGAGTAGAAAGCCTCATCTTACTCCCACGGAGCAGATGGTGGTTTTGAACAGTTGACCTTACGGTTACGAGGGATCCTTCACATTCCTACAAGGCAGGCTGTTTTGGGGGCCCCATTGCATAATGGCTGTGGATGGCTGCACAGCCAGTTCCACCACCACCACCCCCCACACACACACCCGCCCTCTGCTCCACCTTCTGCTCTGTGCCTGGCCTCTGCGGTTCCTCCATCAATGGCCAAGTGCCCTTCCCTGCCCTCAGACCTGGCTTCAGTGTGGGGGCAATGGAAAGGAAGCCTGGTGGCACAGTGGTAAGAGCACTTATCGACTAAACCAGAGGTCGACCGTTGTAACCCACCAGCAGTCAGCTGGCAGTCAGCTTCCCTAATGACCACAGCCTTGGCGCAACCCCCACCCCCCGGGGCCGTTCTACTCTGCCCCACAGGGCCGCTGTGAGCCAGAATCACTGAGCAGCGGAGCTGGATAATGGCAATGTGGGTAGAAGTGTCAGCGTGCTCGCTCTAAGATTAGCTTTCGAGAGGCCCAGTGTTGCTACTTGCCAACTCTGGCTAACCCCCAAACCAAACCATGTGGCCGACAACTGGTCCTTAGGAATCTATGCAGAGCAACACAGTGGAACTGGCCCTGTGGGTTGCCGAGACGGTTAACTCTTTACACTAACAGACAGCCTCATCTTTCTCCCTTGGAGTGGCTGGTGGATTCAAACTGCTGACTCTGTGGCCAGCAACCCAACATGTACCCCACTATGCTACCAGGGCTCCGCGGGTCCTGACAATATGAGCCATATCTACCAAGGGCCACATCCCGAGACCGGAGCCTGACATACAGTCACCCCACACATGATGCACAAGGATACAGGAGTGTTTGCTGGCTGGCTGGGTTTGGGGTGGCTTGTCACCGCACTGCTGCCCGAAGCTAGCTGACATACATGCTAAAGGTCACCATGAAAAGCCTGTCCTCCCCGAAAGACTGGTGTGCTGGGTTTTCTGTGAACTCTGGCAGAGACAGGAAGATCCACCTGCGTCTCTAGATTATGCCTAAGAAACTCCGATGTGGCTTAGTTCTACCCACTAACACTCACTGCCCTCAGGCTGATGGGGCTGCCGTGGGTTGAACGGATGTGGTGGCAACAGATCTAGCCTGGTTGCCACTGGATGGTGACTTACTTCTCACAGGGGTGGGTGCTCTCAAGCCCGGGAAGGAAGAAACTGTACGGTCAGTGGGTTTGGCCTCCCCAGGACCAAGGTCAGAACCAGGCTGCAGCAGAAGTGGTCAGAGCACTTCTGCTCAACAAGCATCAAGAGCTAACCACTGTGTTGGGGATGGGGATGGGGATGGGGATAGATAGGGACAGGGACAGGAAAGGAAGCGGGGTACAGGGCCCAAATCAGACACTGCACAGTGGAAAGAGGTGGGGTTATTGGCGGCCGGATGTGATTTCTCCTGAGGCTCTCAGGGATGTCAGCCAAATTGGGGGAGGAAAAAGGCCCCCAATTCCAAGGGAACGGGAGTCAAAACCTTGTCTCACAAACAACCATATGAGTGGCCCCCAGATGAAAGTCGTCCGCCCCATACGGCCCCAGTTTCTCTGCCTGCAGACTAAGGCTCTGGGTTGTACCCCCTACATCGTACTCCCACATGCTGGAAAACTCAAGAGGGAAAGGGTCATGTGAACCTAAAAGGAGGGAGTGTGAAATGTGCAGGAAAGACTGCAGAATGGTGAGGGGAGAGGGAAACCCAGGTTTCAGTTGCCCCATCTGTAAAATGGGGGCAACAGATGCCTGCCCCTCCCCCCATTCTTCACTCACTCTGCCCAAGTAGTAAACGAATAGTGATGCTTTCTGAGATTATGCTGCATTCCCATGGCTCTGAACCCTATGTTCAGGAGAGGAAACTGGCTGAGAGGGGAAGTCATTTGCCCAGGGTCAGCCAGCATTGGACTCTTGGCTGGTCTGGCACTGACTGCCCAGCCAGCACTATCAAGGAAATTCTCCATTTCCCAGCTTTCCATAACTGAGAACGAGGCAGCCCAACACCCCCACCCCATGCAGGCATCTCCTCTGTGCCACCCTCTTATGGGGGGAGTCAAACTTCCTAAGACACAGGGCCCTGCCCTCTTCCCTCTCCTCACTGAATGGTTTCCTACCCCCAAGCCTTCCTCTGCTCTGGGCCCCCAAGGTCAAGCTCCAGGAGAATGAAGAAAGGACCAGCCAGAAAGTGCCCCTCGGACAAGTACTGAGGGCTCCCCACACCTAACTGCCACAGCGGGGACACAGGAGCCCAGACAGGCCAAGGAGTTCGGTCAGAGGACGGGAGTCTGTGGATTTATTTTAGGGCCCCTCTCCTGAGCCCAGCAGTTCTGCTTCCTGGTCCTGGAGAACTGTCGCCACCACTTCAGGCCCAGGGGCAGGAAGCTGGCCTTCATGGGGTGGGGCACTGAAGTTTGGGAAAGGGGACTGATCCAGCCGGTCACTGCAGCCTTCGAGGCGGGACACTGGGGGACAGAGGCACGGTCATAGCCGGCAAGACTCCACGGGTCGGCCCCTATGAGTTGAGGGATGCTGCAGTAGTCCCCCACGCAGGGACCTGGTCCAGAAGAGGGTGCTGCTGCCCCTGGGGCAGAAAAGTGACCGGGAAAGAGGTTGGCCTCCGCGATACAGGAACCGGTGGTGGGCACGGATCCCGGTGGGCCCCGCGCAGGGTCAGGCCAACCCTTACCCGGTCTCGTGGATGGCGTTG